TCACTGGATTATTTTGTTTTTTTGGGTGTTGAGTTTGGTAAGTTCTTTATAGATTTTGGATAGTAACCCTTTATCTGATATGTCGTTTGCAAATGTCTTCTCCCATTCCATCGGTTGCCTTTTAATTTTGCTGATTGTTTCCTTCGCTGTGCAGCTTTTTATTTTGATGAGATCCCAATAGTTCATTTTTGCTTTGGTTTCCCTTAGGCATTTGATATTTATACTGTTATAAATGGTAATATTTTGATTTCATTTTCTAATTGTATCCTGGTATAGAAATAAAACAAATTGACTTTTGTATATTGACCTTGATTCTAGTGACCTTACTAAATTCAGTGATTACCCCTTATAGGTTATCTATAGATTCTTCTCAAATTTTCCCACACATAATCTAGTCATCTGTAGATAATGACATGTTTATTTCTTCCTTTCTGATCCATATCTATTTATTTCTCTTGGCTCTTATACTGATGAGAGTCCTTCAGGACAGTGTTGAAGAGAACTATGACAGCAGTCGCCTGGCTTCATTGTCTGTCTCAGGAGAAAGCTTTTAATATTTCATTATTCAGTATCACGTTTACTATAGGCTTTTGTGATAGATAGCTTTTATCTGATTAAGGAAATTTGCTTCTAGGCCTAGTTGGCTAGGTTGTTTTTTTTTTTTTATCCTAAAAGGATGCTAGATTTTATGAAATGCTTTCTCTACGTACTCAACAGATAACCACCAAAAAAAGATACGCAGATGGCAAATAGCATATAAAGAGATGCTCAGCATCATTAGTCATTACAAATATGCAAATGAAGACCACAGTGAGATACTACACATCCCACAGGATGGCAGAAATTAAAAAGATTGCCCATTGTTGGTGAGGACGTGAAGGCACAATCACTCTCATACATTAATAGTGGAGACTTACGAAAGCACAACTTTGGGAAAGAGTTCGGCAGTTTATTTTTATTATTTTTAATGTTTATTTATTTTTGAGAGAGAGAGCATGAGCAGGGGAGGGGCGGGGGGGGGGGGGGGGGGGGGGGGACAGAGGCTCTGGACTGACAGCAGCGAGCTGGATATGGGGCTCGAACTCCCAAACCGTGAGGTCATAACCTGAGCCGAGGTCAGAGGCTCAACCAACTGGGCCACCCAAGTGCCCCTGACAGTTTCTTTGAAAGTTAAACATCTTATCCAGCCATTCCACTCCTGAGTATTTACTCAAGAGAAATGACAATGTATGCCCACTCTTTCATTTGTATGAGGACTTGTAGTGGAATGGAGAGAAGAGTTTATGTGTAGTACTCCCAAACTGTCAGCACCTCAAATTTCCATCCACAAGGTATTAATAATTGTCACATTTCTATATAATGAAATGCTACTCAGCAATAAAATCAATGAACCATTGATATTTCAACAACATGGATGAATCTCAAACTAATTATGCTAAATGAAAGAAGAGAGGCAAAAAAGAATACATACTCTATAATTCTGTTCTGCACCTACTGAGATGATCATATGGTTTTTCTCTTTAGTTGGTCAGTATGGTGAATGACATTGACTTTCAAATGTTAACCTATCTTTGCATTACTGAGATAAACTCCACTTGGTCATGATGTATTGTCTTTGTTTATATACTGTTGGATTTAATTTACTAAAAATTTTATTTAAAAAAATTTTTTTAATGTTTATTTATTTTTGACAGAGAGAGAGAGAGAGAGAGAGAGAGAGACAGAGCATGAGTGGGG